TCTCATATTAGCAATACGTTCCTAAAAGTATGCTTGAGAGTGAGAACTACAAGCTATATTGAGAGAACTGTACTACTGTACTTATAGACCAACTAGTAGCATAAAAGAGACCAGATCTGATACTAGCTAGTAATTAAACGCGTAGACAAACAACACTATTATTGTGGAGATATCTAAATGCAATAATCTGCGTATTAAATGCAACTAAATATCGATAAGTTTGAAGATCTGGAAATACAAATAAGAAATAATAGACAATTAAAAGGATCCAAACAATGTCTATTATTCTCTCCACTAAGCGAAAAAGCTCATGAAAATTATAGATCGTGTTATCGCGAAAAACCTCATGAAAAAGATAACAGCTGTGGCTAGATAAACATATTGTATAAGATCACGTAGATATTTGCACTTTTCACGGTGTCCGGATGGATGCGAAAAATTTTGGAAGTTATTCATCACACCATATCACCTTAGCTAGATAACACAGAAAGAGTCCCATCAGAGCTAGGACCTTTTGATACTGTAGGCATTTGGGATAAGTGAATTTTCTTAGAGGGAGTTTTATTTTTATTTAGCGTATGGCAATTTGATACACAACATTATCACATATATGTTACAATCTAACATCTAATGTATTAATATATTCAATCGACGCTGGTGTTGCAGAGGCGAAGTCTAGAGGATCTCCATAATACTTCCTCCGAGGGCATTCGGCAATCATATGCTGGATGGTCTGTTTCTCGGCGCCGCAGTCGCACTCAGCAGAGGTTCTCATCCTCCATTTATAAAGGGAATCTGCGCAGACTCCATGACCCGTTCTTATCCTGTTAAGAGTTGACCATGATTTTCGGGGGAGGTCAAAACCTGGTGGAGTTTCTGTGATGCATGGTGTGTTTCTCATTATTAGGTTCGGTCTGTCGCTCTGCATGTTCTTCCACTGGGAGTTCATTTGGAAATTGTTGGAACTCAAGTTTATTGCATCTCTAGTCGGAGGTTTTCTGGAGCGCAATCGATGTGAATTAGCGTCGGCGACATATGTGTGTATAGGTAATTGCGGGTTGTTAAGCAGCTTTTGGAATTCTCTAAGCAGAGCATGCTGACGACGAAGATTAGGTGGAGGTATATGGCTCAGTAGTGGAAGCCACTCCACAGGTGTAGACTTGATCGTTCCAGATATGAGACGCATGGCGACATTGAGCTGGGTATCTATAATTTTTGTGTGGACGCTATTCAGCCAAACAGGAGAGCAGTATTCAGCTGCGGAGTATACGAGTCCAAGGGCTGAACACCGAAGTGTACCTGCTGATGAGCCCCATGTAGTCCCGCAAAGCTTCTGTATGATGTTGTTACGGGTTCTCAGCTTTGCTGCGGTGTTCTCAAGATGTTTCTTAAAGGAGAGTGTTCTGTCCAGGGTGACGCCGAGGTACTTGGGATTATAGTTGTGCGTGAGCAGTTGGTTATCAATGTATACTTTAAGTTTTGTGTGGGCCATTTTGTTGTTCAGGTGAAAACAGCTAACCTCGGTTTTTTTGGGGTTAGGTTTAAGTCTCCATTGTTTAAAGTACTTAACCAGGCGTTCCAGATCTTCCGTTAGGATTGCCTCGGAGTTTTGTATTAAGGAGCTTTGAGTTGCAAGTGCCCAGTCGTCTGCATATCCAAATTTTTTAGATCTGGTAGGGGGCATATCAGCTATATACATACTAAATAGCAGCGGTGCAAGTACGGAGCCCTGGGGGAGGCCATTATTAAGCGTTCTCTGTTTGCTCACTGTAGTTCCCATGGTTACACGGATGTTTCTACTGCTCAGCATAGTATTTATGAGTCGGGCGGTTGCTTTGCAGGGGATTATTTTAAGGAGCTTATAGATGAGGCCATCTTTCCAAACCGTGTCATAGGCAGCCGATAAATCGATGAATGCCACAGACGTCTTCAGTTTTCTTTGGTAACCTGCCTCTATGTAGGTAGTTATAGAGAGCACTTGGTCAGTGGTGCTTCGTTGAGGCCTGAATCCTGCTTGTTCAATTGGTATTTTTTGAAGTAGCTTTGGGCCGATTCTGTTCAGGACCAGTCTTTCGAGGAGCTTGTAAGCTGAACTGAGTAAAGCGATGGGGCGGTAACTCGCTGGGTTGTCTGTTGGTTTTCCAGGTTTCAGGATGGCTATGATTTTTGTTTGTTTAAAGAGGTTTGGTAGGTTACCTGTTTTGAGTATATCTGTATAGAATTTAGACAACCAGGTTTTTGCAGATTTCCCACAATGGATCAGAAATTCGGGAGGTATACCGTCTGTACCAGGAGCTTTGTTTGGTTTTGAAATCTAACGATTCGACTTCATTTGTCCATTTCTTCCTTCTTGTTACATCAAGGCTCAGGATAAGTTCGACCGCAATGTCACTTTCACCGGTTTCAAGATATTCTTCGTAGAGGTTTTGGCTTTCCTCACTCCATCCTGGTATTTATTGCTTACGATGGCCCCTGGGAATGTGTTTCTTTGCTGTAGCAATTATTGCCCCTCTAAACCTTTCATAATTTTTGTATGTTGGTGGAATCCATCGTAAGATTTTATCGAGTTCATTGGTAAAGGCGGGCCAGTTACCTTTGTTAAAGTTCCAACGTGGTCGTGGAATGGTTGTAACTAGTGGGATTTGGATACTAATCTCAATAATGATCGGCCTGTGCTGGCTATGCGGGAAGTCATGAAGTACTCTTCTCTTGGTTGGTAAGGGGTAGCTTTTTTTTTTGCTCACAAAACATAAATCTGGATTGTACTCTTGTTTCCATGCCGCCGATTTAAAAGTGCCCCGGTCTTTGGCATCGAAGACGTGATGCAGGTGGTTACTCTCTACCCAGTCTAACAGTGTCTCCCCGTTTTCATCGTTGTTTCTGTATTTCCATTCTTGATGATGGCTGTTAAAATCACCTAAATAGATGGCTGGATGGGGCCTTATGTCTATGACGTGGCTTGGCAATGTAATACTTGGGGGTTTATAAACATTTGTCACTTCGATTTCACCTATTTTGGTAACGGTCAAATGTATATTATCTTGCGTGGTGGAAGATACGAAGTGAGCGTTTTCTACGGAGTTTTTTACGTAGTTGGCGGTACCATAAGCATGGTGATAGGTTGCTTCCAGAAGCTCATAGCCTGGAATTTTGCCCCTACTTGCGAGTTGTTGTTCGTTCGCAGTATGGGTTTCCTGTATAACTACCAAGTCGATGTCGTTAGAAAGTAGTCTGTTTGACAGCAGTTCGCTTTTGGATCGGCTAATGCCTTCAATATTTATCTGACAAATCCGGACAATGGGTTCAAGAGTTCTAGTCATTTGGTTCTCATAAGAACCGTTTCCTGGTTGGGCGTTCATGTTTGCAGTTGTATATTGGCCAGGAGATCGTTGGATAGTTTGGCCGCCTGTTCGTTCTAGCTCATTTAGTGTTAACCAGAGGGCACGTTAGAGGGAGTGTAATTGCATTTTTCAAAATAATGCAGTGTCAGCTAATAAACTACTGATTCAGGTTTAGCATCTAAAATAACAATATTGTATCGGCGAAGCTTAATCATCTGTTGTATATAGCTTTCACTAAAAATCCAGCTAGTTCAGATGATAAAAAATAAAAAATATAGAAAGTTTCTCGACTGATATCAGAATCCACTTTGGACTAAACAAGCAGCGTATTTTAAATATAGTCACAGGAAAGATTTAGCCCGAACATTCGATATTCAAGATGGCCAAAACATGTAGCATGTAATAAATTCCTTTAAAAAATATAGATATTCAATAACAAAAAAAAAACTTTTGGTAAGCTCTTGGGCATTATATAAAATTTGGTGTCTTTGTGTACGTGTATATTTCTACAATTTTAAAAGGTGTTTGATTCAAGGTCGATTTACGATATAATTTAAAGCATGTTTGACGAGATTTCGGGTTCGCTTGCCCCTGCAACTTGATACGCGAGGTAAGGGACGGGAGAGGCCGGTATTAGATCAGGTCGGAAGAAATTCAAGTTATAGATTTGAAAGGGTGGCCAAAATGAGCAGACGTGTTTAGTTGAGTCGGAAAGAAACCGGCAAATTTGTAGAAAATAGTGAATTATACTCTATGTAGTATGTCAATTTTGAAAGAGTAATCACTATTTCTGTTTTTAAGTATCTAAGAGATTTGTGTCGCCTGCAATAATTTTGAAGGCTAACATGTTCCATTGTTGAGTTCTTAAGAACCACAGTCCAAGGTTTGTGTTCCAGTGCCCCAACTTCAAACCCCAATCTCAAATAGTCAGTCGTATATCAATTTGGAGATGAAATTGTTCGTGGAGCGGTAAATCTAATTCCAGTTCTAACCTTAGAAATCGTTTAAAGTGCAATATAGTGCAATCCAGCATCTCCCACTTGTAAACGGATGTTGTAAACCGCTAGGACAAAGAAGGAAGAAGAAAGTTTACTCGAAGCGGCGTGTAATTTTAAATAGCTAGAGGTACTTCTTCTTTGTTGTTTTGTCCATTTACCCAATTGTCCAGGAGATTCATGGAAGTAGCCTCTTTTTGTATTATTTTTGTAGTTGCCCCAATCCAACCCCCTTGCCTTTTACTTATCCACGACCCCAGCTCTTAAAATAAACCCTGAGCGCCGTTCGCATAAGTTTCGATTTGTTTTGCTTTCTCTATCTCTGATATAATAATTTTTGTCCCCAATTTCAACCCCATAATAATATCCTATCTGGTAGGCAAAATATTTCATTACAACCATCGAGGCGATGCGATGGGTGAAAATAATATGTTCATATAATACGTCGGTTTAATGGATGAGATGACGATTCTAACTTATGTTATATATACCTAACTAATATATAACTAACTTATATTATGTTGGCTGTATTAACAGCCAACTCCAGATCAACTATTTTTAATTTTTTTGGTTTTCAATTGATAACATTTAATTTTAAAAAATTGTAAAGCAATGTGTACAACAAAACATTTAACTCTATAATTATTAATCAAAAAATAAAACTGCTTAATATATTTATTTATTTAATCTACACATTGGCTTTCTTCTACCAAACAACGATTTTTAACAACATTTGTAAAGTAATCTGCAGATTTCCTTTTTATCCTTGCTCTGTTGGGGTCATTAAAGTCCACTTTATACATTCCTAAGAACGATCTGAAACAGAAAATACGCACATTTATTTCAGAATAGTACATATTTAAAATAATGTTTAAAATATTATACTCAAATAAAAAAAATGATTTTTGTAAAATTATAGTGGTAGAAAAATCATAAAAATGCTTATTTACTGTGAACCTGTTTAGTAATTTAACCCTACATATATATATATATATATATATATATATATATATATATATATATATATATATATATATAACATATATGGGGTTATTGTATGCCCAAAGAAACAAAATTATTGCATTTGTGGAGCAAGTAATTTTTCATAGGGGCATGGCTGCAGTGGTAGACGTAGCACATGCGTTCTATCAAAACCCTATGCCAGATATCAGAAATTGCCAATGCAAATAAACCAAGACAAAGTAGCCAAAAAGTAACATTCGGCTAGCTACGATCATTTCATTGTTTAATAATTTCTCATCGGTAACGTCAAAGGAAAATTTTTGGAAGCTACTAGTGTAAGTGTTTCAGACTTAACAATAAGAAAAATACTTTGAGTCCCAGGACTATTCAGCAGAAGACAGTAACGGGTTCTCGAGTTATCCAAGCAGCAACATTTTCATCGCCTAAATTGGTGTCTTCTACACCAAAACTGAAACATTGACAATTGGTAACATGTGTTACCAAAGGACAACAAAGACAAGCAAGAATGAAAACTGCCAGATCCGTTCACAGATGTAAAAGAGGAAGTGTCATATTTTTGAGGAGGCATTATGACAACTTATGAGACGTAAAAAACTCCTGTATTTTAATCCAACTAACTTTTAACAGTTCGCAGTTATGTTGATTTGGTAGCATTTAGATCCCGTAGTTAGCTTTGGAGAGGTACAATGGGAAAAAATTTCCATTTTTATACATAATAATTCACCTTCCATAAGAGGAGAGTGTGCTATTATTCCTCCTATAATAAATTTTTTAAACAAGTTAGTCATATTTTTAAATTTCTCTTGTGTAATTGAAATTGTTTTATAAAAATAGACGCCCTAACTGATCAAGTTTAGTAATACAGAACTTTATTCACACATCGTTTTGCATGTTGCAAGTAATCAATGTAATCCGTGGTGTCTTGCTTACATATACAGAATGTATTTGTCACATAGTCGTCATGCAAAACGAAATAAAAACCTAAATTACTGGAATTATTAAGAGTTGATTGTATAGTCGGTGTTAAATGGTTAATAGTAAGTAGGGCCAATACTTCGGTTCGAGATGTAGTCTCTTCGATTTCAAAGACTATTTTAATGTTAACAATAGTTGTAAAACTGTAATAAAGATGGAAGTACTGAGAGAAGTAACTTTTATTATATGACGATCATGTCTAATCATTATGTATTAAAAGGCGAAACATTTTTATGTTATAAGAGCGACTACAGACTTCCTTGAACCAGAAGATATTACTGTTCTGGAGTGGCTTGCTTGCTCATCTTATTTAAACATTATTCGTTTTTCATTGAAATTTTTTATACTATTGACTTTAAAACAAATAGTTTTAACTGGTTATTTTAAGTTTATATATCATTACTTACGTGTAACCACCGGTCCACTCCCAGTCATCCATGATACTCCAAGCTGTGTAAGCTGTCAAATTGACACCGTCCTCATAAATAGCATCTAGACAAGCGCTTACGTGACCCTAAAATATATATTTTTTATTTTAATAAGCAACACCAAAAATATAAAGTAGTGACATACATTGTGTGAGATTCTTCTTTTATCAGATTGTAGCATGAAGCAATTATTCGCTCAACAGAAATTGTGTCAGTAATTACTGGTAACACCAACCCTTTTTTAGTTGTAGCCGAATTTTTTGAGTAAATAATTATACACATGTATAACATCTATATTAAAATCAATCAGCAAATCATCAGAGAGTTGTATCACAATTGACTCTTTATATGGTGAGAATTGTTCTAAAACAACTGCGCTCTTGAATACCGAGGTAAAGGCCATCGTGTCAAATGATGCACAGCACAGGAGAAAAAGTCATGCCTAATGATTTTTACCAAATGTCTGTACATGGGAATGTGAGACCGTGGAGATAAAATGTATGAATTTTAGGGGCAAAATATAGTATACTTTATTCTTCATGCTATATCACCCAGAAGAGTCTTATAGACTCTAGTGAACATCCCGATGAGTAAGCATCATCACATGAGAAGTAAAAGGTGTATAAATATTTCTATTCTCATTTTAGTCCATCTTAGTTTATTACGCAGGTACGTGGTCTCTTAATGCTAGAACATTGAACCGAGTCCGATCATTTAGAAGAAGTACTGCATGCACTAAGGACCATTTAATATCAGAAAAATTGTTCCGGGCTAGACAAATGAACTAATAAAATTGTTTTAAAATAATAGAAACGCAACACATGGACCTTTTGATAAAGTTTTTCAATGTGAGATATCAAGCAGGAGATATATCGAAGAAATGATTAACTTTGACCAATATTTGCCTTCCGAAGAAGATAAACGCTAGAGTATGCAGCAGTAAGCGTACCATTAGCTCCATTAAAAATATTATTAAAAATTATACCAAAACGTATATCAGAAACTCGACATGAATATAAAAAACGCAATTACGATTTCGTAAGGGAGCCAGTAGAAGAAAAGCTCTCTTTACACTCAATGCATGAAACAAGAGATGCTTAGATGTTACCTAATCTAAATATATAAGAGAAGGTAGTCCACAGTGAGACGCGGTATACAGTACGACATTACTTCTAACTTTCAAATTTGGCGCTCAATTAAGTTGATTTATATCAGATATTTATATCAGATTAAGATAAAAAGACTATTGCAACAAAGGAAGTCAAGCAAGTAAACCATTATACGAGTGGTGAACAAGGTGAGCTCATTACAATGTGTACCACTGTTTCTGCTGCTGGAACTTCCCTGGCACCAGTCCTAGTATTTCCTAGAAAATTTTTCAAGCCACATATGTTACAAGGTGCTTCTCTCCGATACATTAGGGTTTGCAGCACAAAGTGGCTGGATGAATTCCGAATTATTTGTCGAGGTATTGGAACATTTTATCAAACAAACAAATAGTTCAATAAATAATCCTTCTGTATTGATTTATGATAATGCAGAGTGTCATATAAGAGTCTCAAAGTCACAGAAAGATTAAATGAGGCAATAGCGGATATCACGACAAGATCTAAACAACCGGCCAGTATAGAAGACAAATGGAATTGTATTAAAAAAGCTATCGTAACCACCACCAAGTCTCTGATCGCTTCCCAAAAGTACAAAAAGAAGAATTGGATGACTGACGAAATATTATCAATGATGGACGACCGCAGATCATTTAAAAACAAAGACCGAACCAAACATCAGCAGATCAACCGACAAATACAAAAAGAGTGTCGCAAAGCTAAAGAACAGTGGCTGCTAGACAGGTGTGCAGAAATGGAGGAATTGGAAGAAAAACATGACCACTTTAACATACATAAACTTATTAAAGAAGTGACAGGTCATACAAAACCTTGCAGTTTTAACAGTATTGTGAAGGACAATAAATTAATTACTGATCCCAAAGATCTACTTCAACATTGGAGAAACTACACACAGCAACTATACTCAGACACAACTAGAAGAAACTCTGAAAGTGAGTATAAAAGTGAACCCTCCCCCAAAATATTGAAGTCAGAAGTTGTAAGGGCAATCAAACAGAGCAAATGGGGAAAAGCACCAGGCCCAGACGACATATACATAGAGGTTCTAACAATGTTGAGTGAAGACAATTTAGACACCTTGGTAGATCTTTTTAATGGCATTTATGGGTCCGGTCAAATACCACAGGACTGGCTTCAATCAACCTTTATACCAATCCCAAAAAAGCCAAACGCTAATAGTTGCGACCAATTCCGAATGATCAGCTTATTGAGCCAGGTCCTAAAACTCTTCTTAAAGATAATTCACACAAGAATATACAACAGATGTGAAAGAGACATTAGCCCCACACAGTTCGGTTTCAGACAAGGATTTGGCACAAGAGAAGCACTTTATAGCTTAACTGTCCTACTTCAGAAATGCAGAGATCAGCAAAAAGATGTCTTCCTATGCTTTATAGATTACCAGAAAGCATTCGATTGTGTTAATCATTCAGAATTAATAAGATTGCTCCAGGAACGTTCGATAGATGAGAATGACCTTAAAATCATAAAGAACCTTTATATGAATCAAGTGGCATCTGTGAGAGTAGGACTGGAATCTACATCATATTTCTCAATCGAAAAAGGTGTACGACAGGGTTGTGTTCTGTCACCCTCCTTTTTAATCTTTACTCTGAAACGATTTTCGATAGAGCCTTAAGTGACACTGAAGATGGAATCAAAATCAACGGACAGACTATTAGTAATCTTCGCTATGCTGATGATACAGTCATAATAGCTGATAGCCAAGAAGCGCTACAACGACTAATAGATAGAATAAACACTGAAGGAGAACGAGTGGGCTTGAAGATTAATATAGACAAGACGAAGGTAATGGTGGTTAGTAGAACACGAAATATGCAATTGAATATAAGAGTAAACAACAAGAACATCCAAAAGGTCCCCAAGTTCAGATATCTCGGTAGTTGGATAACTGAAGATCTAGATCCAGACATAGAGATACGTAGCAGGAGCTCCAACTTAATGCTTCGATATCGCTTTGTAAAATGTTACATTTATTCCGTACTGCTATATGGTGTAGAAACCTGGACCATAAAGGCTAATGTTATGAACCGATGAGAAAATTTTCTGGACAGATCACACAACAAATGTCGAAGTATTAAATCGAGTGGGCAGAGAACGAGAATTGCTGCCAATAATAAAAAGAAGAAAAACTGCTTATCTGGGTCATATATTTCGAAATTCCAAGTACCAGTTCTTAAAGCTTATTATGGAAGGGAAGATAGAAGGAAAACGAGGCATCGGAAGAAAGAAATACTCATGGCTTAAAAACATAAGGGATTGGACAAATCTCGATGCCCATGCACTTTTTAGAGCCACACAAGATCGAGAGGAGTATTCCAGAATTGTCGCCAACATCCACTAATTGGATAGGGCACCATAAGAAGAAGAAAAGTGTCACATACCTGCAAAAATAGTTAACAGGGGTAGGGAGGCTGGACTTGTTATATTAACTTGACTTCCACATTGCAGCAATAAAATGCAGCCCCTTGATATAACAGTTTTTGGTCCGTGTTTAAATCATATTATAACAGAGAATGTGACAAATGGATGCTAAACAATCCGGGTATTCCTTTAACAATTTGAAATACGTTATGTATTGCCTTGCGTTTTTGATGTTTACCCACCGCAATATAGTTAAAGGATTTGAGAGATCAGGATTCATCCATTTAACCTGATATATTTGGGATTGCTGATTTTCTTCCAGCAAGCGTAACTGACAGATTTAACACTGATAAGAGCACAGATCTATCTAATGCACCAGGTCCAAGTCATGTTAATGCTGCTGTAATAAATTCTGTTAGCAGAGATAATGATGTTGAGACACCAAGTCGACAAGCGAAGTAACTGAAGTTGCTAAAGTAACTCGCCAAAAGAAGGCATTAAGTTTTTAAGCCCTGAAATTATACGAGGGTTTCCTAAAGCAAGACCAAGAAGACTGCCAGGCAAGAAAAATAAAAAAAACAGTGTTAACAGATACCCTTGAGAAATTACTTATTGGAGAAAAAGAACAAAAGAAGGCAATGAAGAACGGAAATGGATAAAGAAAATTTTATGCTGGATCAAGTTTCGATTATTCCAATAACAGAAGGAAAATTTGTGCTCATATGCTTCCCTGGTAGAATACACTATGTTGGAAAAGTTACAAGTAACAATATAGTTATAATACGGTCCGTCCCAAACCCTTTTTTCAGTGCGTCATAGTTGTTCGAATTCTCTCTAACGCATTAAGCTAGAAGTGACAGAAAAAAACGTGAGTCGCTTATTATTATACATAGAAATTAGAAAATTAGGTATCGTTTACGGGTATTCGCATATTAAAGCGAATTCTACTTACGAACGTATAATTGGTTGGAGTTTAGAATATGCTAAATAGATATCCAATCAATTATGCATATAAATATAATTTGACACAGATGATCTTGATAATGACAGTGACAGTACTTTCACAACAACTGATAAAATGATAATTGCCATTCCAGGTTAGTATTTTCAGACATTTTAACTACAGTGAAAATTAAATTCTGTATTTATTGTCATAAAAATATTTTAAATATTCCGAGATATACCGAGAATGAAAAAAGACTAATATTAAAATTATTAAATTAGTTTCAATTAGAAAATGAGGCTGAGTTATCTTTATTTCAGTTTCTGTCGCTCGCGAATCAGATTGTGAATTCCGGAATGATATTGAGGAAATATCTTAAACTAATACCTTTATGGATATTTATATGTATTAAAACGGTTCTTTTTAGAACCACGACATTTTCTTGAAATGTAGGATATAATTGATACCAGCCACATATCTAGTGTAATCATTGATTTTCAAGAATCAGATTCTGAATGGGATTATAGATTGTTTGAAATATAATATTCATTTTTGTTATTCATAAAAAAGAAGGTAAACTTACATTCTGTATCTTGTTTTTTAACTAAACTCCATTAACACGATTTCATCTGGATATCGGAACTGGTAGATTAACTCAAGAATCAACTGCTTCACTATTTAAACTATTTATATTGTTTTTTTAACTAAACTTTATAACCTTCTTTCATTTGCACACCAAATCTGGTAGAATAACTCAAAAATCAACTGCTTCACTATTTAAACTATTTCCACTATTTAATGACAACTCTTCACAAAATTAAACTATTGGCTGCCACACAAACTTATCAGAAAATTCCTTATCCAAATATGACTGATTTAAATCGATATTATTTTATCGCAGGAATGTTTACTTTGATGCCTTGCAATTGTCAGTAATTTTTTTTACCTTGCAGTCAACTCTTAAAAGATTCTAGGAGGAAGCGTTATTTTAAATAAACAAACCTTCCAATTCCCTAGTGTTTGTAATAAATAATAATAAATCCATAAACAAATCTTAGCTAATTAAGCACTTTCCATGGAATGTATAAAATAGAACAGAATAGAATAGAATTATGACAAACTGCTATGCATTAAAAAAAATAACCTTTTCACGTTTAGCCGATTACGATCCTGCAACTGTCAGATTTAACTAAAATGTCATGCAATAATTCTCGACATTCTTAAAATCCTATATGACGTCAAAATTAGTGACGCACTGAAAAAAGGGTTTGGGACAAACTGTACCTCGTATTACGGCATATTTTTAAATTTTTCTTTTAATTACATAATTAAAAAAGCAGAATGAAGAGTTTAAAGTGTCTTTTCTAAAGAAAAGCAATAAAATAGATAATGCGTTTGTCTCTCCTAACGTAGAAGATGTCGCTTTGATAAGAATGCCAGATGTGGTATTTGTGTTTCCAGATCCATTGCCAGCCGCCACCAAGCGACAATGCAACATTTTTAAATTTATATAAGATTTAATGCTCGAATAAATGAAAACTTTGATAAAATGAAAGGCAGATATTGAGCACAGTTTTATTAATTAAAATCTGACCAAGTACTTTCGCTTTCTAGAGCATCTTCAGGGGCATTTGGTGAATTTTGGGCTATCCAACAATCACAGAATGTCATAGACATAAAATTGTACATAACACTATACTAAACAAGGACAAAGAGTTTAAAATTATTTAAAAAATGGGCGATTCTGGTCGGCAACAGGAGAGAGAATGATTGACGAAATGCCCCTGAAAATTTTTTAAATTTGGTATAAAATGTTCGAGGTTCTATAAGAAAACTGAAGTAACCACGTCTCACTGTACACTTTATACTTTCTAACTGTTTCTCGCATGAGGTATATTAGGTTTTTTTTAGTTTTAATCTATTGTATTGTTGGCGTAAATAGGCATTTAAGCCGTAGTTCAGGAATTAAATTTAATTTTTTAAATTTCCGACTTTTCTTTGAAGAAATATGATTTTTGTCTCACTGTGGACCACTCTCCTACATCTTTCATCATTAAACAGGCGTTGATAAGTTATTAAACAGGTTACAAGTCTTTAGTCCCATTTTGATTCATATTTATCTAGAATTTGAGAATAGTCTTTAAAAGCAGAAACCTCTGGAATAAAGATCATTGGAACACAAATTAACAATAGGTGTGCGAAAGATACTGTTTTTTGTCCGAAAACCTTTTGCAGAGACTGATAAAGAAGAGAGTCGATCATGAGAAGAATATGACCTTTCATAAATATAAAAAAACAGATTCAATAAGTTCTCAAAATCATAAAAAAATAATAAAAGGTTAACAGTTTACGAGAAAATCTACAAGAAAAAACAAGTTTTAAAATGGCCAGTTCAAACTCTGCTTATTGGAGGTAATCTCAGTGTTTCAGTTTACAATTTATTTTTCTAAACTAATCTGAACCAATTTCTAACACAACCTACTAAAAATCGTCAAGATAACACCTCTCTTATCCACCTCAATACAGGTCCGCGTTGGTCTATAATGCAAAGCAATCAATACCGCATAGAAATTTTTTCTACATAATTTTCTGGTTTATTTATATTACTGGTTAAAACACCAATCATTGGAAGCAGCAGTTTATAAAAAAATGATTATTTTCTTTGATATTTTAAAAATATGAAACAACTTTTTTAAAACTTTACCATAAGTACCACTTACCTCAAGATAAGTAATTCTGTTGTCATCTTCTAATGTGCCAGTTGTATCCGAAAAACCATTTTCAGTTATAACAATTTCTGGATTTCCATATGTATTCTTCAACCAGTTCAAGAATTTCCTAAGACCCCATGGTACATCCTTCAAAATAATTAAATTAAAACTTATATATGATTCGAATCTTTTTCATTGGTATTGTAGACATATTAAAGTGTATTAAGAAGTGAAGATACTTGATAATTTTTAATATAAATAATATACTTAAGTAAGCGACATATGTCATACTGACGTATCTCGTGATGATGACATTTAAAACATGTTCGAAGATAAAATAAATGTTACCTGATATAACTAATGAGCTTATTTAAACTGTTTTAAATTCAAAATTTCGATGTCTTTGTTTTACTAAAAACCTTTATATTTCTTTAGTCTATAACCTCTATAATTTATGGACTAAAACAGCTTATTCCCATTTAAAAAGGACATTTGGATAATATTTATTTTCAAAACGTCTTATCTCCCTAATGGTTTTATTTGCAAGGAGTCTTAAATCCGCCTGGCCAATCTAGGAATGCATAGAAGTCACGTGACTCACTGCTGTTTACTCGTTTGCTTCTAGTTGATGCGTACAGTAATCGGCAGGCATCTGCTATACAAAGGTACATTGTTTTTGGTGTTTATTTGTGTGAAAAAGGATAACCAAAATGCATTGGAATAGCTCATATCTGCAAGTTTCTTTGTTAGATCAAATGATATAGGTAGGGTGGGGCAAGTGTGTACCCGGGTAAGTGCGTTTGGACTAAATAAAAATATTTGTAACGTGAAGTTGGGTATGAAACCGATTTCAAATTTAGCGCCAAGTATTAAACGAAACAGCTACACATATGAGTGGCAACGTCGTTGAATTCACGACATAGTATCACACGTGTTTGTTGGTAGTTACGTTTGAGGTTATACAAAGAGCAGGTAAGTGTTTATTCTAAGTCTTGTTAATCTCGTACCGTTTACTAGATTTTAATTTTTATTGAATATTTTCGATTAATAATGCAGAAAATTGAATTGTTTTGATACCATTTATGATTTTTCGCTATAGTTTGCTAGTAATTAAAAGGTGCGCACTTGCCCCAGAGATTTATCACATGGGGCAAGTGCGTTTTTTGTGTGGGGGCAAGTGCGTCCTTACCTTAACACACTTGCCCCGGCATAAAATCTGAATACAATTTTTTAATTCTTAGGTAGAGATGGTCCGAAATTACGTCCGAAAGACGGAGAGAGGTTCGCAATATACAGCAGAAGTGCTTAATAATGCCTTAACGGATATAAGAAATCAGAATTTCACTGTCAAGGGAGCATCGCGCGCATACAATATTCCTGTGACAACTTTACGGGATCACTTGAGTGGAAGAAGAGGCGCGAAGGTATCAGGACAAGGTCGACCTACCGACATTCCATTGGCAGAAGAAAGGCGACTGGCAGAAGGTCTTCGCACGATGGAGCAATGGGGATTCGGTTTGTCCCGTAAAGAAGTTTTAGAATTAACCCAACAATTCGTCCAATCAAACAACTTGAAAACTCAATTTAAAGATGGTAGACCAGGTGAAGACTGGTTCTTAAATTTTAAAAGAAGACATCGGCTGTCAATAAAGAAACCGGAAATAGTTGAGTTTGCAAGAAAGAAAGCCATGAATCCTTTTGTTGTTAAAGATTATTTTAAATTATTGAGCGAAACCATTCAATCTTTGGGGCTTGCTGACAAACCTGAGAGAATCTACAATATAGATGAAACTGGATTTTCGAGTGACCCCTCTAAAACAAAAGTTGTTGGGAAGCAAGGAGCACCATGCACAAGAACCACCAGTGGACCGGGAAGAGAGAACACTACAGTGGTGATGGCAGCAAGCGCTACTGGCGAAAAAATTCCTCCATTAATTGTTTTTAAAGGCAAAAATATCTGGGATGAATGGATGGCCGACGAACATGATGCCTTCCCTGGTACTGCCTATGCCGCTACTAAAAACGGCTGGATTGAAGCTATTGTATTTCGAAACTATTTTGAGCGTACTTTTGTAAAAAACATTGGTCCTGATCGGCCTATACTAGTTATCTACGACGGACATTCAACGCACCTCACGGCAGATTTGGTCAATTACGCGAGATCGGAAGGAATCACCATCCTCAAACTACCGGCTCACACAAGTCACATTCTCCAGCCATTGGATTTAGCGGTGTTCAAAGCTTTAAAATCAATGTGGGACGAAGAACTCGTAAAGTGGCAGCGACAGTTTGCTGGTCGGAGACTTCCCAAAAAAGTTTTTTCTAAGCTGATTGGGAAAATATGGACAACAATCAACCCAGAAGTTATCAAAAATGGATTTAAGAAAGGAGGTATCTTTCCATTTGATGATAAAGTTGTACCCGAAGATCGTTACGAGGCTTCTTCTTTAAGGCGATGGCAGATTTTAGCGGACGTCAGAGATCAGCGCCAAGAGACTTCTACAGATGTGACAGATGTTGCCACCTTCGAGACAAACTCGTGAGTATCTTATTTCAACAATATGGACATTGTAGGATTTTAGCGAGCTACTCTCGTAACCTTATGATTTTTTTTCTCTGTTTTTCAGATGTCCAGTATCTTTCGAACATCTTCTACTACAAACCGTAAAAAGCGGAACACCAACTCCAGCAAAAAAGAAGAAGCGAATTGCAGCAGGTAGTGAAGTGATCACTGCCGGACCCAGCAAAGGCACCTTCCAAGACTCAAGTGATGAAGATCAGGACGATCAGATCTCTCTACACGATGAGTCTGAAGGTAGCGATTTCGTGGGCCAGATTTCGTCAGAAGAAGAAGAAGACGACGACGAGGAGAAACTATTTCTTGGTTCTCCGCCTGAATTTTCTGTGGGAGACTGGGTTCTGGTGGCTTTCAAAAGTCAAAGTCGGGACAGAAATGACATTTTATATATAGGCCACGTGATTTCTCTCGCTGAAAAAAAATATAATTAATAATCGCGAAAAGCCACAGATTTGAAATCTTCTCTAAATAAAGATCATTGTCAAAGTACTTAGTGCACGTATTATCGATTTGGCAGCAATAACCCAATTGAAGCATTGATACAACTAAAACCAAATATGAATAAAAGGGGCACACTTGCCCCACCTTACCCTAATGTGAAAAGTAATTTAAGATTTTCCATGTCGATTTATTTCATTTTCCGTTTGCTTTGAATATCGTAGATAGCTCGTATTTAAGTGAGAATCTGAATTTTGGTTTCGAACATGTAGTAGAAATCTTCAGATTTTTACGTTTTGCTTTACATTAGAAAAGTTATAATACTTACAAAGAACCAATCAGCACTTCCTTGTGTCCATTCACTCCTGTGCCAGTAGAGGACGCTTTTGTCATTATCAAAACTAGGAGTACCGATAGGAGCGTCTGCTGTATGATTTACAAGTAATGTTGAATAGTGATTAAGACCCAAATAGTCGGAAGTGCCTTTGATGTACTTAATTTCATCTTCTGTAAAAGCCGGTAGACGCGATTCTTTGAATCCTTCCAACTTACTTCGATACGCTACACGTTCTTTAACTATTTCTGGCCAGTCTCCGTTAAATAGTGGATTGCCGTATATTCCAATCTAGAAATAAAAATGTATACTATTAGATATCAAATATAATAAAAATAATTTCATTTTTCATTGACATCAAATTTACTAAACTTTTTGAATTGTGTCTATAGAAAACTCTAACGTAGAGATTTATTCTTATCTTAAATATATCAAAAATAAAATATTTGCTTCTTTTTTTTTCTTTTGTGAGTGCCAATTTCTTCATAAATATCGAAGGCTAATATGACTATAATTAATTTAATAGCAGTTTATTAATTACCATTTCTAGTTCTAATTTCTTACGTTTTAATAAAATTGTTACTATCATTATCAGTACGAGGTTTGATATTAAAATTTTTATTCATTTAAATCATAGATATCAACTGACCGATCCCAGCAACCACCTATCAAATTTTTGTAGCTTAAACCAAAGAATATAGACGCTTTATATTCTTTGCTTAAACATTGAAATAAGTTATCTTAGTCAAAAAATAACACTGGTCGATAGGCAACCAGTATTACGATATGTACATTGCTGATTGTCAAAATATTGTTTGATTACAACGGCAACGAAAATTAAATGAACCAAAATAATCTCTTAATGATAAACAAACAGTTAATTCATTTAATGGCAAAACCAACTCACTAAATAAAACAGATCCTCAAGAACCGACTGACAAAAATTACCAACAGAATTTAAAAACATGTATCCCGATAATTTTGGCACTGAAAGTATAAATCTTATAAACATACCTACCTACCTAGTATATTATCAATTTGAAATAGAATAAAAACGATTGTTTTCTTTACTTGGCAGCCTCAACATTTTAGTTAAAAAAATGTAATTCGATACAAAACATTGCTTAAAGGTTAGGCTTCGTAGCGTTCAAGTCGATGAAATAGATAGTTTGTATATTAAAACGATCTCACGATGACTTTGATAAAATTTAAGCATAATTGGACGTAGTTAAGCAGAAAACGTCCAACCCAAAAAAAGTGATTGTTGGGAAATTGAGTTTAAAAGATTTTAGTGTGCCCTAGCTAAACTATGCATAATTTATTCGCCTGGCAATGATTTTAAGATAATGATATTCATCTCGTAGGCACCTCGTTTGTAATTTCTTTTAAATGTAAGTTTCAATGAAGTTATTTTGAAAATTTTAGGTTGGACGTTTTTAACAAAAAACAAAAATCCGAAAAAAATTTCGATAAAACATACTTATGTGGGTTGGAATCTTTCAGATAAATAAATAATGTCATATTTTTATAAAAATTTTAATGATCCAAAGAAACAAAATTACAATGATTTTCTTATGTAAATGTAAATTTAAAAAAAGTTTTAATTATTGTGGGTATCTACCTCAAAATCTAGAACTGGAACATTAAATCCATCAACGTCTTCGACTACATTAGCACTTGTAAAATTTTCATAAAACGGTTTAGCGTCTGAAGGAATTAGATGTAAATAGCTTTTAATATCGTTAATTTTATCCTCTGACAGGGGTTTACCATTGGGCCAGAGTTGCATAAGCAGCGCCGAAAAGCTCTCTGTATTTAATCGTCCTCGTCGCTCAATATCCAAACATACACTTTCATCGCCAAAATAACTAGGTTTCATAAAGATGTGGTAAGGATTTTCTTTTGTTAATATAATTTGTTTTGTCTCCAACCAATTTATTTTTTCTTTATTGGTGCCAACTTTTCTGTTTATTGTGGCCTTCTCGAGCTGGTGGGTACTCAAAAACCATTCCTTTTTCATTTGTGTAGCTGTTATTGGAGACTTTTTACGACATGAATTTATTATATTTATATAGTCTAAAGGTGTATATATTCGTTCTTGACGTTTGAGTTGACATTCTATATCCCCAAAATCTTTATCATTTGGTAGAAAACTATGGCCGGAAATCAGGAATTTAAATGTTATAGTTTTTATATTATGGCTGGTTTGAAGAAGACTGGCCATGAGGAGTGTTATTTTAATATTACGGTTCTGGCCTCCACAAGAATCAGACCACAATATAAGATGTTCAACAGTACTTTCTATGTTTTCTAAATATTTTACAATACAGGAACCAACCTCCTGAGCTCCTCTTCCAGCAGTTCCTTCAAGCCATACATAGGAATAACTCTTATTACGTTTGCCTGAAAATACACCGAGATTATACAAGCAAACTTGCCTCTTATAATATATTACATTGGTTGGAATTTTGGGTAAAGGTAGAGTTTTTTGAAGATCGTATGTTAAACACTCTACATTATCCTCATCTTTAGCTCGTTTTAAATCTGCCTTTAATGTTTCTCGTGATTTTTGGGCCAAATCCTGATGAGTGTCGAGTTCAATTTGTAAAAGTTGCTTTTTATGATCATCCGTTTCATTTTCTAGTTTTATTTTAAATGAATCACATACCTGGCATGTGTCCTTCTTGGGAACATTAAATCTCAAATTAAATTTTTCGTAAAAAATCCTCTTATAAATACCAAATTTCACAGGGTTTTGAACTTCAGATTTGTATAGATCATAAATCTTTAATAATGAGAGATGTGCCGGTAAAAATAATGCAGACGTGTTTTCACGACAGTAGTGCGATATGTACTTAGGCAGTTTATTGATCTGGTTGATTATTTCCTGAATTTTATTTTCAGGGACTTTGTTTAAACCACCTTGTTTTCTACCTCTTTGATCAAGAATTGGAGCACGATTGTTTACCTTTCTCAGAGCTGTTGTTACTCTTGACGGAGTTATTCTAAGACTATTGATAAACATTTGCCTACAAATACGCTGATTAAGTAAGGAATATTGTCTGGAATACAGACGTCTTTCAGTGTTTCTTCCATACATTCTTTTTTTCGGCATTTCGTGGATATTATTGGCAATAAAGATAGTTTGGGCATTATAAGACCCAAGACTCCAAAAACGATCAAATTCTTGTTTTCGTGACTCTGTAGAAATCAACTCAGAACATTTCATCGGGCAGTTACAATTGTAGTCATATTGAAATTCTTTAGCAGCTTTCAATTTTCCTTTGTAGTCAATGTAAGATTCATTTTTGTTCCTATTAATCTTTGATGTTGCTCGCGTCATTGCAAATTTCTTTTTTCTACCCTTCTTTGGACGACCTGATGTACTGGCTAAAAATGGATTATCATCACAACTTTCATTGTTATCGGAACTCTCTTCATGTGACGATGGTATAAACATATCAGAGGAACCGCTACTAAAGACATCACTTATTGACATATTCTGTAAGAATAAAAAGGTAGGTATTATTAGATAATATTTTAAATAAAAATTTCAAAAAATTATAGAAAGCGTCTATTTTAATTAAAGAAGTTAACTTTTAATCAATTACCAGGTACCAAAAAATAAAACAAATTCAATTCATTCAAATTAATCTTTTTCATAAAGTTTACTATAGGTACTCATCGAAAAATAATTTTCATATGCTTTACATTATTGTATAATTACTTTAATCAATAATAATTGATGATCATAATAATAGGTATCAATTTAACATTGGTATAATAAGATTAATACATATGTGTTTACAAAATTGTGTGTACCTAAGGAAGTTGTATTTTTTCTTTTAGATTGTAACAATAGGTACATCAAAGTTTAGTTTTCATTAAATAGAAATAATATAGCGAATAGCATTATAAAGCATTTTACTAAACAGTATAGGTACAAAGATTTAATACTTACATCATAATCATCAACAGAATCTATGGTAGAAGCTGATTCAAAACATCCAGTTTTCTCGTTTAAAACCATTTCACGAATACGACTATTGGATGACGATGGTTCGCTGTGACGGTAGAATTCTGTCACATTGGTATCATCCATATTCTACAATATATTTAAATTATGTAATGATGTATAAAATGCATTTATTTTAAAAATTTAGTAAACAACATAAACTTTTAGAAGCCGTGTCTTATAAACTGATTATTTTTTCGTGATTTTCGGCCAGATTAAAGAAATACCACAAAACTCTATTTTCTTCTATTTTCTTTATTTTTTTTTTAAGATTTAGTAACAAAATAAATTGAAACGTCGTAAAAAAAAAGAGAGTTTTGTGTTATTTCTTCAATCTGGCCGAAAACCACGAAAAAATAATCAGTAAACAACATATAGTTATTTTTTAATAAAAAATTTCCGACTTACCTCAACATTGGTAATATTTGAATCAAATTCCACGCTAGACATTACACTATTTGTTTGGTTTTCCATAAGTTTTGCTAGCTCACACATGTATTTGCTTCTTTTCGACATAATTATTATTAAATAAGTATTTTTAAACCCGAACAGTCAGAAAAATCAGACACAACTGAATAAAAAGAAATGTTTATCAATACATAGGCACATTTACTTAAAACTAAAGGAAAGTGATTACTATGCTTAAGATGAGTACCTATAATAAATTAATTTTTATCGACCAAGTTCCAGGGTTTATACGCACAAGGCACGTTTTAAACATTAATAGGGCACATTCCCGTAATAAAATTTTATTATCGACCGAAATCGAAGATTCAAACTACTTTTAACATATTAATGAAATAGTAAACGTAAAATGATACCAAGTGGTTTGGACGATTTCTGATTATACTCTTATTTTTAACAAGTATACCGAAATTTATAAGTAGAAAACATCCAATTCACTTGGATGTTTTTAACACAAAAAAATGCACAGTAGTTTTGTTATCGCATGGAGCGTTAAAGTGATCCAACCCACTTAGCCTGTTTTAACCACTCTTTTAACACGATTACTTAGATCGACATACATTTTTTAGAAAAAATTCAACCCACTTGGATTTTTTATTATCAATGAAAATCTCAGTTAACCTAGTTTGTGGGTTAGAACTTTGACGATTATTAAAAGAGTATGTAATGTTTTCACTTGGACGGTTTCTGCATATTATAAAGCAAGAAATTATATGCTCGCTGGTGTAAAGAACTCATTTTTAACAATTTGTGGGTTGGACGTTTTCTGCTTAACTACGTCCAATTAAGGTTTGTTTAAATGTTTTTCACATTTTAATATAGGTATGTAATAGTAATATTATAAATTTTACAGCAGTTAATTACAAATTACTTATATATAATTATACTTACGTCAAATTGTTGAGCTCTTTCTGCAGCATCTTTATCTTCTTGACTATCGCTGCCTGGTTCATACCAAGTAGAATCGATCACCATAGCAACTTGTCCTATAAATATTTAAAAGTTTAAAAATTTAAACAGTTCAAAAGTATGTAATAAATTCCTCAGGGTTCAGAAACGGACTAGGAACCAGTGAAGCGTTATTTGCTTTTAATGTGTTAGCTCAAAGATGCATGGATATGAATGTTAATATGCATGTTTGTTACGTTGATTTTGAAAAAGCATTTGACAAAGTAAGACATGAAAAATTAGTCCAAATTCTAAAGACAAAAAACATAGACCATAGAGACTTACGAATAATAACAAACCTCTACTGGAATCAAAGAGCACAAATCGTAAGATAACAAACTCAGTCCAGAAATTGAAATCAGGAGAGGAGTTACGCAGGGATGTATTATGTCCCATTACTATTTAATGTATATAGTGAAACCATTTTTGAAGAAACATTACTATCTCAAAGTGAAGGAATAATAATTAACGGAAGATCTATTAACAACATAAGATATGCAGATGACACCGTGATTATGACGAGCTCTGCTGAACAACTCCAATTACTGCTAAACAAAACAAACAGTTTCTGTGAAAAATATGGACTAAAAATGAATATAAAAAGACCATATACATGATAATAACAAAGAAAACAAATATACCAACAAACATTCATTTGGGAACTGTACCGATAGAAAAGGTTGATAAGTACAAATAGCTAGGAACCTGATTTCAGACAATAATGACCAAACAACCGAAATAGGAGCTAGGATAGAAATAGCAAGAAATGCGTTTGTAAAAATGAAAACAATTCTCTGCAACAAAGATCTTAGATTAGAACTGAGAGTAAGAGCACTGAGATGCTACGTGTTTTCGATACTGCAATATGGACTTGAAAGCTCGACATTTAAACAAGAACACATAAATAAGTTACAGTCTTTTGAAATGTGGTGTTCGGAAAACTAACCATTATTGTACTAGAAAATACTTTTAAGGCAAAAAGAAAGACCGAACAGTTCCTAGACAAACGATAATGATGCATATGTAACACAGAATGTTAATATATTTTTTAAATTATTTAACCCATTACCTTTATTTTTTGCTCTAAACTGTTCATCATAAATATGCCAAGCTTTAGCGTGTGCTAGAAGAACGTTTTTCGTACAAACGTAATCCAGAATACCATTGGAGACAATACCAGGTGCCAATACTCCGGAACCATAACCTGCTTGACATACTTGTTTGGGTTCATTAATGGTAATCCACCATTTAACATCATCTCCAAAGAGCTCGAAACATAGTTTGCAATAATCGGCGAAGATATCAACGATAGTCTCATTTATCCAACCGTTCATTTGTTCTTGAAGTGGTTGCGGTAAATCCCAATGGTATAAGGTTACTAGAGGTTCTATATTGTTCTTTTTTAGCTCTTGAAAAACGTCTTTGTAATACTGGACACCTAGTAAAAGATAAAAGTAGTGTTAGTGAATTAAATAAAACTTACAACTGTATTTTGTTACAATTTAATTAAAGTTCATCGTAAAATAGAATCGAACATAGTATATCACTAGTTTATTAGAAGATTATTTAAAATAATATTTAAAAAATATTTTGAAGTGTTGTCAACATATTTTACTTCCAAGAATGGTAATTCAAAATGCAAGAGAATGTAAAATTATGATTTCATGTACATATGCATGTTTTGTTCCATATCATGCAAGATGAGCGTTTACTTTATGTATATTCCAGTTCTTCCTTTGGCGAAATTTTAAGTTAGACACTTGTAAAATTAAAGTATTAGCTTCATTACGTAATTTCAGCAGTCGTTGGTTTAGCTGCCAATTCAGCTGCCATTCATCTGTTGTGTCTTTATTTTGCTGCGTTAACATATTTCGACATAATGTTAAGACGTTGATTAATGCCGCTGTTAAATAAACCAACTACGTTATTTTGACACTCACGAGAATTAAGTTTTTCTTTAGAAACTTCGAGTCTTAATTTGTTGAACGAAAAGTTAACTTTCGTAGATGAATACGTAGAAACAATTACGGAAAGAATTGTATTTGTAGCAATATAATTCATAAAAACCTATTTTATAAACTCGATTTAATGTATTATTTTTATTATTAGGTATAAGGAAAAATAAAATATTGTATTATTATAATGTAAAGTAACCAACAAGAAAATATATTTACTGACGCGCCGCCAATGGTCCAATTCAAAATTTCCGAGAATTCATGATTAACACGGTATTTCGGCTATTTTCGAACAGTTACGACTCGTGATTTTGTATGCCTAATTTTATTTTTTGTTTCCCAAAGTAAAGATATTGGATATAACGTACCTAACTGATTAAGACTATCTACATAACCAGTAGGAAGAATCCTGGACCAAGCAATCGAAAGTCTGTAATGATCCAGACCCATTTCCTTCACCATAGCAATATCCTCCTTATACTGATAATAAGAATTACAAGCAACGTCGGGTGTTGATCGGTCTATGATTTTTTCTGGCTGAGTATGAGCAAAGTGGTCCCATATAGTTTCTCCTTTGCCATCCGTGTTCCATGCTCCTTCAATTTGAGGTGCAGCATTAGCAACACCAACTTTAAATGTCTTTGGGAATCTTCTGTTGTTTATGGGATCCTTGGCGTTGGCACTTAAACTAAAATTTTGGGTATGTTTAAACACAAACTAGGTAATAAAATGGGTGATTCAAAACAATTTTAATACGCACAATTAAGCTTAGTTAATATTATCAGAAAATAGAATGAAATTAAAAAGTATTTTTAGTTTTCAAATATGACTACACAAAATGTCGAAAAAACGAAAAAAAAAGAGAAGGAGCTTAGAAGAGAACTTAAAGAGAACTAAACAATATCAAAAATAATATATCAAAAGCAATAAAGAATGATTTAAGGAGGTACAGAAGCAAACAAAAAATATCATAAATAGAAAATAACAAAAGCAAAATACTGAGAAAAGACTATCTACTGCAAAAAACAAATTTTTTTAATAAAATATAAAAGTGGTAGAATTACACAACACATAGATAATATACTAGGTCTTCTTCTTCTTAACATGCCATACACCAAAGTGCGTAGGCGACTATCTCATTACTAGAATTCTGTTCTTGGCGGCGTGACACAGCTCACCTGTATTGTGTATTCCTGTCCATTCTTTAATATTCCTTAACCAGGATAATTGTTTGCGGCCGGCTCCTCTCCTACCTTCGATCTTCCCTTGTAGGATTAACTGTGGTATTTCATATTTTGCTCCTCTCAATATGTGCCCAAGGTAACCAATCTTGCGTTTTTTAATTAATTCAAAGAGTTCTCTTTCCACGCCGGCTCTATTAAGGACGTCATCGTTTCGAACTCTATCCACCCAAGGTATGCGCATCATTATTCTCAATGACTACATTTCAAATGCTTCAAGTTTGTTGATATACTAGGTACAGTTAAATAATTTTATGAAGACATATGTCAATTAGCACCAAATGATAGAGAAACAGGACTATGTACAAACAAAAATAATAAACCAAGGCCCAGAAGAAATTTCGGACAAAAAATAGACGAAATGACAAAGAATGGCAAACTCCTTGTTTTTGGCTGTTTTTATCGTGGTTGACGGCTTCTTTTATTTTTGTAGTCTTAATAAAACGTCCTAATTAAAGACTTAGTTGGTATATGATATATTCAGCTTTGACGATGAAGCTAAATTTCGAAAACCTTGATTTTCTTGCAGCTAGAGTTTATAAGAGTCCAAGGAAGTATACATTTATGGAACTAAATGGTGCTAAAATACGGGAGCAATAAGTAAGAAGGTTAAGAAACGATAAGCACTTAATGTGAAGAATTGCCAAGATAACTATTTCCTGTAAAAATTAATAGAGGAAAACCAAAAAACTAGTGAGTGAAGCACAGACAAGACATTATTATAAAGTGGGTTGAAATGATCCAAAGAAAACAAGGAAATAAAGGCATGAAAATTAATGGTAACAGCAGGTTTAGTATGAAATTATAGAAGTATAGAAGTAGTAAGTAGAAGTAAAAATAACCAAGAAAGATACTACAATGCAGTGGTCAGAGGACAAGAGAAGAAACAACATAAGCTGTACCGTAGTGAACATAAAATTATCATAATTAATCTTTATATACAGTGCTTTTCAGATAAAACTATCCACCTTAAATAACTTTTGAACCTCTAATTTTTTGGAAAAACGCAAAAACACTTCAATTAATATCTGAAGGGGGAGGCATAATATCATATTTAAGGTTGCTGGAAAATGCACCCTCACACCCCTGTATCAACCCTTTATTTTTTTAATTACTTCCCCTTTTTTATTTCATATTTGGATTCTCCTTTTTGTACTGATTTCAGAAATGTATAATACATGATACTTGAAGTGATTAGTTTATGAGAAAAGTAAATACAAAAGCAAGAAAATTGGATTGAAAAAAAATTATTTTTTAACAATTTTATTACACACATTTAGAACAAACATTTCACTACTAAAAGTTTTTACAATAATTGTTCAAAATTACTGCCTTTCACTTCCATACAATAGTACAATCTATTTTGAAATTCTTCTCTGACATTGCTTAACACGTCTGCATTTAATTGTCGACATTCATCCTCTATTCTTTGTTGTAAATCAACTAGATATTCTGGTTGAGTAGCATAATTTTTGTTTTTAAATACTCCCATAAGAAGAAGTCTAGGGGTGTTCAATCCGGTGACCTAGGTGGCCAATCGATCATCTGTCGTCTTTTACCTATCCAAGGACCGGGAAACGTTTCGTTTAAAAATTATCGCACAGGTAAAGCAAAGTGTGGAGAAGCTCCATCATGTTGAAATACAACCAAATCATCGGAAAGGTTATCATCATTTTCTACTATTGTTCTAACGATCAACCACTTGCCTATATAATTCAAGATACGATGCACCATTTAAGTTTCCAGTGATAAAGAAGGGTCCGATAATATGATTACGTAGGATACCACACCATACGTTTAACCTTTGAGGATGCTGTGTGTGAAATTCGCGTACAATATGTGGATCACTCTCAGCCCAGTATCGGCAATTATATCTGTTCACCAAACCGTTTAATAGAATGAGCATTCATCCGAGAAGCAAATATTGTTTAACAATTGTGGATTGTTAATGATGCATTGTATCATTAATTCGCAACATTCGGGACGACGATCAAAATCTTCTTCATTTAACTCTTGTACTAATTTAATTTTATATGGATAAAACTTAAATTTATGGAGGACTCGGAAGGCTGTAGAAGATGAAACACCGATTGCTCTGCTTATTGTTGACAGTGACTGTGATTGTTAAGAGTCTAAGTTAACTTGCCCTAAAACAGCTACTTGGATTGCTTTTTTATTTACAAGTTCCTGTCGGTTATGTTTTTTATTGCAAACTGACCCTCTTGCTCTAATTTTTTCTGCATCAGTTCAATCACACACTTATGAGTTGCATGTCTATTGTGGTGTGTTTCATTAAAAATTCTAGCAGCAGCTCTTGCACAATTATTATTTTTGTAGTATAAACCTACAATTTCGATTCTTTCTTGCAAAGTGTACACCATTTCAGCGATCAAATTGCACACGTATCAAAATAAGCTGTTACTTACAAGTTATAACAAATTGTCGCTATTAACCGATTAAAACAAATGTAAAAATGATATCGAAAACCTTTGATAAAACTTGAATAAAAAGTGAATTTTTTTGTTTCTTGGTTTTTGAAGGTACTACAAATAGTACGGTTAAATATTTAAAGAGTTTAAATTATGCTACAACCTATTTTGTTAGAGTCAATTAAGGTGAGGGAGATACTGTCTTGTTAACAGGAAAATTGTCTATCGGATAAACTAATCACTTCAAGCCAAAGGTATTATACATTTTTGAAATCAGTACAAAAAGGAGAATCCAAATATAAAATAAAAAAAGGGGAAGTAATTTAAAAAAAATAAAGGGTTGATACAGGGGGTGAGAGGGTGCATTTTCCAGCAACCTTTAATATGATATTATGTCTCCCCCTTCAGATATTAATTGACGTGTTTTTGCGTTTTTCCAAAAAATTAGAGGTTCAAAAGTTATTTAAGGTGGATAGTTTTATCTGAAAAGCACTGTATAATTCAAAAGAAAAATAAAATATATTTGAATAGTTAACAAAAAAATATTTAAATGATAAACTTACCAAAGTGCAATCAATAATGTTAATGTAAATAGCTTCATTTTGATAACAGATCTGTTGTTTAACATTTCTGTACACTTTATATAAATAATTGTTATCGCAAGATATTTAATTAAAAAAAATTTTGAGTGGATTAAAAACACTTCACGAATTCTAGTGGGATTGATTGCTTTTGTACAAAATGTAGTATTTGTAGTTTGATATGGTCTTATCAAGTAGTTTAGAATTGTGTTCTTCTTCATCTTGAAATCTGGCTAGATTATGTTTATTCCATCATATTGAGTCTTTTTCTTAGCTAATCCTGTAGTTCGCTCTCGGCTTTAATTCTCGCGACATTGTTTTAATGATCTTAGTTTGTTTCGATTTTGAGTCTTTGTAATAGATCTGTAATACAGAGTTGGTTGTCGATAATCATTTACAAAGAGCTCTGAGCAGAGAAAATGTGTAAGGCTCTAAAATCAGTATCCATCACAAACCCCACTCCTACGTTCTTAAAAAAATGTACATAGATTCTACCAAACAGGCATTATATAGTGTAGAATGAAAAATTTCGATGAGATATACCTATATTAAGAGACAAACATTATCCTTCACGCTTTCAAATATGCCCAACAATATCCAAATACACACATAGCCATATGCTCTGATTCGCTTTCCTCTATACACTCCATTAATGCTATATCCACCAAACATCCTATCGTCCAAGATATTCATGACATATATCAGCTTCTTATAAAACAAAATATAACTATCACTCTGATATGGGTACCATCCCATGTTGGTATTAGTGGTAACGAAAAATCTGATTGCCTTGCCAAAAAAGCCGCATCATCCTCGGACACCAATATGAATATACAAATTTGCAATGATCTGAACGCTAGACTAAAGAAGCTTAATTTATCTTAATTAAGACTAACCTCTTTTTTGTGATACGTGGTATACAGCCAGCTACAGGAATTGTTTTCCTTGTAGATTTTTGATTTTCTTAATTTATCCACCTGGCAGATTCACTAGAATAATGTTACTTCAGCGCTGCATGAAATCAAACCTTCAGTAAACCTTCTTACCTATCCCAGTTTATCTCGAAAAAATATGGCAATCATACGGAGATTGCGTATTGGACATACCCGTCTAAATTGTGATGTCGGGTAGTGTATTTCAGCCAGAGAAACAGGATTCGTTCATATAGACATTTATTTCGAACTAACATACAAAAAAAAGGTAATTAACGTTAAGTGTTTACTGAATATAATGCTTAAATACAAGAACGTACTGTTTATTTATTTCGGTAGATGGGTGTGACGATATTCGATATGATAAACTAAGATATGGCGATCGAGGAATTGAGGTCGTACTCGTTCCTCAACGCAGAACGAGTACTCGGACGGGATAAGGATGTCTATCTAGTTCAACACACTAGATGGAAAGAATACGTCAATCTCGTTCAACGCACCAGATTGACGCGGTCAGAGGAAGGATTGTCAATCTCGCTCAGCGCGCCAGATCGACTGGGTTCGGAAAGGATTTGGGACACGTTCAACTCACCTGTCCCCAAGGTCGGATATTCTCAACTCAACGCGTCGAGAATGGTTAGCTGTCTTTCAGTTTCGACTTTTATACTATTCGAGACGGAACAAAAACGTGTTTTGTTTAACACATAGGCGTACTCTAGACGATAAAATATATTATCGTCACAAACTCATGGCTACCTGATGACATCATCTCCACAACCAAAATGTCAACACTGCAATACGACTCTCCGAATCAGGCATATACTTATCGAATGCCCTTTTTATGCCAAAATACGCCAACAGCTCAATATCAGTACCAACTTCAAAGAGGTCCTAAACAGCACAGACGAAATCAACAAGGTCATCAAATTCCTCGAGAACAGTCAACTGCTCAACAAAATATAAATGTTATATTACAAGTTTTTATTATTTTCTCTGTATGTTAGATGTTAACTACATTATTTTGTAATTTATATGATATTAATTATAATGATAATGTATATGTAAATCGTAACTCGTGCTAATGACCATAGATGTCACATGCACGTTAATTTAAATAAAAAAAAGAGACAAACATAAGGGCCTAAAGACCTAAAATAATTGACGTTTCTGGTCCAGAAATTTCTTTTTGACGTTTCTCTTTTATTTTATCTCTATTGAGGTTTTCATAATTACGTTTCTCCATAAGTTTTTATGTTGGTTATATAACAATCAAGTCTTTATACCTCTAATATCTTTAACTGAATATTTTGAAGAGGGGAGAGCTAGTTGTGCCGTTAGTTATTAAGAATTATATCTGCATTTTTAAATTTATTAATATTTATTCATTCTAACGAAAATAGCTTAAGGCCTTTATTGCCCTTTTGTGTATTGTTATACGTTTGTTAAAGGTTTTGTCAGTTTGACCTATGTAAGTTATTTATAACAGTTTTTTCACAGTTCTTGTCCAATTAGGTATATTGCTGCTTTTTAATCTTTATTTGTTTTTAAAGTTCTTATAATTTGTATGACTGCTTCAGATTTGGAACGTCTTAATAAGCCATCGATCCTCAGAAGGATAATTTATCGATTACTTGTTCTCATTTTAATACTTCACTTCTATTTGTTTTTTACTCGATATCAGTATGTTGTATACTCTTCGTATGTAAGAGCCTACTACAATATGTACGATGCTACACAAACTAAGTACACATCAAGATTTAATATAAAATTTGGATTATGTAAATAACTTAAAAAATGTAAAAACTTCCTCTAACCTGTGTTGTTATGTGAGTTTTATCAGCAGTTAATTTTGACGAAATATTGATAATCATGATTAGCATCTCTCAATACTTTCGTTAAGTGTTTTTTAAATGTCAAGTATCGAAAATATTTTCTAACTATTTATTTCCTCAATATATATGGCTCCTAATTTCCAGTCCGCAAAGAAAATAAACCCCAGACTAGGGAATGTCTTACTAGGATCTTTTTAAAGCACAATATTTAGATAGAATATAAAAATGGGACGAAAAAACTAAATTAGAAGCAGAAACGTTTTGAAACTATTTTTTTGTGACTGTAAATGTTTATAATTGGAGATGAGTGGGTAACCAATTTAACACTTTACTTACTTGGCCCTGATCTTACTAGGCATTAGCCATGTTTAAGTTGAAATTCTGAGAGATGTTGTTACACCCTTGGATTGATTTCAAATTTTAATATTTCTGTACTTGCTGTTGTTAAATATGGATGATGTGGCTCTGTATATTTTTATTTTTAATTTTTTCTTTCAGTATTGGTTACCAAATCTAGCTTGATTGTGTTGATGTGTTTGCTACTCATTTGTCTTCAGTTAGCCTTTAATCATTTCTTTTCCAATTCTTCAATATATCCTTGGACAAGCAAATATCTTGAACGTAATATAAATTTAGGGAGTGCCTGATAGACTACCAGAGAAAAACATTAACATCACAGGATACCATACCTATACGGACTCTCAAAAATACATAAAGAAAATCTCAGACCAATTTACAGCAGCATGGATTCTCCTTACAGGAAAATAATTATATCTAATTTTTTTTATTTATATGAAATTATTAAATTTCTAAATTTGTAAATTACTATCATTTAGGAAATATGCGAATGTTGTGACATAGCACAAAAAAATATTTAAAAAAAATATAAAAAATTAAAGGATGAAAAAATAAACAAAGATGACAATGTAAAACAGTCCAATAGTGTTGCCCAAATGCAAGAACAAGACGAGACTTAGACAGTCTTGGTCTTTCGCCAGTACACCTGGTCTTGGTCTTGGTATTGCACTCCTAGTATTGGTCTTGGTCTTGGAAACTTGGAACAAGTTTCCAGCTGTTCTCCGTGCGTAGAGGTTTTCTCCCCGGCTCTGGTACTCAATTTTTGCAATGTATGTTACCTGAAGTCATATTTAATTTATATTACTGAACATCACAGTTTTTTAACAACAAGATGTATAATCTTTTATAACTATATGTAATTTAAAGGGTTCTTACCCATGTATTTTTGGTGGCTCAGGCATTTTAACCTAGCGATTTTAAACCTGATGATGGACTGTTTAGTCCGAAAACGTTTGTTTTTTTGATGTAGCCCTTTTAAGGGTTTTTTAAATAAATATACCCACTTACGAAGACTAAAATTTCTTTAAGTCAATTATGCTGCACTCTGTCAAATGCCTTCTCAAAATCAATGAAACAGGCATATACTTTCTGATTAATATCTAAGCATCTCTGCGAAAGAACACTTACTGCAAACAGTGCATCTCGTGTTCCTAGTCCTTTCCTAAATCCCATTTGTGTTGTACCAACCAGGTTGTACTCTTGGCAAAATTCAACAAAGCGTGTGCTTCGTTCGTTCCTGGTTCCTAAACCATATGGGCCGATGATCGATTCTACTTTTTCTGCTCCCACTTTGGCATTACAATCTCCCATAAATATGTTGATGTCGTCTGATTTTATGTCTTTTTTATCTTTACCTATGCAAACAGCTAAACTGTAATATTTATATGTAAGTTTATTAGTGTTACTACTCTCGGGAATGTTGTATTTACTCAATATAACACAAGTCAATAAACGTCGTTCTTATCCTTGGAACCTCAATGAGCAAATTCTAGTTGATATGTTGTATATATTGACCTGTCCTTATAAAAATGATTTAACTGTTTTTATGTAAATTAAAATATGAAAATATACTCATATTTCAAAAATCATAATAACGGATTATTCAACAACAGAACTTGGTACACGATTAAATTCTCATGGAATCGGTTTAACATATATTTCCTTTAACATCTTTAATCCGTAGACTCTGGAGTCTATTCTCACACAGATCAAAATTGAAATATAATTCTCAACGTCGGAATACAAGTCGCACCCTGTAGTTGCTGTTTGTCTGTCAGTTAAAATGGTTTTATTCAAAGTATATGTCGAATAAAGTGGCATTTTGAGTTACACTCTCGCAGAGCACCGTTAAAATGACTCCAAAGTAATAGAAACGTTATTCCACCAAAAGTTTTCTTCTTATAAATGTCGTTC